ATATAGAGCATGTGAAGTAAATGCACATCTGTTAGCCATTTATTTCGAGAAACGACAAGATGGCAAAATCATAATATTATACTAGCTATTTTATCTGATAATAACAGACTATTTTTGCTGATTATGATACACCCATACTATTTTGCTAATTATGATACACCCATCTAGCAAAGTGACTATATTATCCATCATGTCTATTTCATGTAAAAAATGACAATTTTCTAAAAGTTTTTTAATGCAGTCACTTTAAAACTTTCCACTCTTGGTGTTTTTTTCTTCTTGTCTTTATAAATAATTTAGCAAGACAAAACAAATAATTGGATAGAGGTTGCTTTACCTTTCCTTTGTAGAGACTGTTGAAGTAATTGCAAGATCCATAGTGCTTGAATGAGAACAAAACCTTGTCATCAAAGGGTATTCTAGGCACAACATCACTGTTATAAACAAACCTCTCATACTCTATTCCATACTTTTTCACCACATCCTTCATAAATTCCCCAAACTCCGCATCCCCTACACGTGGCTGTCCGAACGTGTAGATTCCCTCTAGCTTCTCAAGCAGCTCATCCTCGCCGTGAATCGCCAAAACCGCCGGAAATAGAGCCGCTAATGCGCCGCCGAGGCTGTGACCCGTTAGGATAAACTTAAGGTTCTTGTCTCTGGCAAGCATGTCCCTAAGCTTCTGTCTGATAGTGTAGTAAGCATATTGGCGTCCGAGAGGTATGATTTCCTTGGGCCATCCGTTTTTTTGGAGGCCTAGGGCTCTCGAGAACCCGGCATGGACTTTACCAACATTCTTCATCTCGTACCTAAATTTAAATTTGGATTAAATAAAATTAAGAAGATTTATTGAAGTACAAATGTGCTCGGATTACGTACCAAGAGACGTCGAGATCAGTACACCAATCATCAACGTCGAAAGGCTCGGTTCCTCTGAAGCTGACGACGATGAGGTTCGGATTGGTGGTCGACGCCTTGAACACGAAAGCTTGAGTCACGTTTTTTTCCTGGTATGCTGACCAAAGAAATACACACTTATACTTTAGGTATATTATTTCACATGTTTATTTAGATTTGTTTCAAACTATTTCAAGGTTCTATAGAAAATATAAAAGCATATTAATTTGATGTTGTAAGAATATTAATCAGAAAAAGTAGAAACTCTTATATATTTTTTATTTTCTTAGAACAAGAATTATAGAACCAATAATCGGGAATTATATGCGAATAAATCTCTTGCTTGCCCGAAAAAAGAGTCTTGATTGATGCCAAATATCTATTTACTTTCCTTTGTTTTATAATAACTAGTATGTTTCATCGTTTAAGTAAGTAATTTTTATTTATTAATACAAAATATAATATACCTAGTTCTTTCCAATATAAATCCATCTACTATCATGCAGCATTTGAATTTAAAGATCTTTGATTGCCACACCCGGACAAAAACACCTTGGCTTTTGTTTTGGGTCAACAGTTTTATTCTTATTTTATTTGTGTCGTATAATAAATGTTTAAAAATTGTAAAATAAAAAGTACTACCAACCCATTGAAATCTAGTTGAAATTTAGTAGACAGATGCACCAAACTATCATAGAAATCATAAATAAAATTTTTTAAAATAGTATGTAATCTTAAGTCTTTCACGTGTATTTATACAATTCTAAATTTTACAAAAAAACATATTGTATTACAGAATTATTATAATCTTTAGGTTTAGCTGAAATTTAAATATATTTTAAAACTATATATGTATTAATTTAGTGGTTTGTATTAATATTGTTGTCCTATTATAATTTTAGTAAAGTACGTGTGTGAGTTACATAGGATAAAACAAAACAATATCTTCCAATTAATTCACAACTCTTAACAAATTATGAACTTAAATTCTAGTGTCGTTGAATTTTGATAAAATGCGTGCACATTGACTTTATAATCTTGTACCATTTTGGCCTCCTAAACTATAAGTAAGTTCCATTGAGTCCATATAGCATTAGTTTAAGTATGTTTTTTTTAATAGTAAGATTTTAGATTATATTGCCAAATTAAATTGGAATCTATGAAGAGTTCGATCATTACAAATGAATAAAATTTATACGTATA